AGGGGTGGGGGCCCTAAATAAAAATTTAACCCCCCTCATCCCCCTCCCTCCAAAAAATAACCCCTACCTACCCCCCTTCATCCTAAAAATAATGAGGGGGGACCATAAGCTAGATACATGTAAAAATAAATAAATAAATAAACTTACCATTTGATGTCTTCTTTCTTCTAAAATAAAAATCCATAATAACCGACACACAAAAAAAAACATCTTCACGTGGAGGGCTTTACGCAGACTGAGCTCTGCAGGGCGGGGGAAGGCTTATAAAGAATTCCCTGCCCTGCAATTAAGCTCAGATCAAACTGATTGGTGGGTTTAAGCCATCCAATCAGAGCGCTCTGACAGGTAAATGAAGAGACTGACAGGTAAGTTTCTACATTTACCTTTCACAGCACTCTGATCGGTTGGCTTGAAATCCACCAATCAGAGTGCTCTGTGTCATTTTACACAGTGTGGGAAAGTTCTTTGGAATTTTCCAATGCTGTATAATTTGACTCATAGCAACACTCTGGTGGATTGAAATTAACCAAATAACTTTCCCACGCTGTGCAAAATGACACAGAACACTCTGATTGGTAGGATTTCAAGCTAACCAATCAGAGTGTTATGAGTCACTCCAAGGGGGGGGCATGGGGGAGGACAGTAGGTTCCCCCTCAATCTTATTTTGGGCCCACACCCACCGTGCAGGGGTGGGGGCTGTGGGGGAGGACAGTAGGTCCCCCCCTCAATCTTATTTAGGGCCACCACCCACCGCGCAGGGGTGAGATCTCTAGTAGAGTTGAGCGAACCCGAACTGTAAAGTTTGGGTTCGTACCGAGCATTACGGTTTTTGGACCCCGGACCAGAACACGGATATTTCACTGTATGTTCGGGTTGGAGTTTGGTGTTCAGCGATTTAATGGCGCGTTTTGAAAGGCTGCAGGGCAGCTAATCAACAAGCATTTGACTTGTGTGCCCTTAGAAGCCATCACAGCCATGCCTACTAATGCCAATGCCTACTCTTCCCATTAGTAGGCATGGTTGTGATGGCTTTTAAGGGCACATGAGTAAAACGCTTGTTGATTGGCTGCCGTGTAGCCTTTCAAAATGCACCATTAAATCTCTGAACACCAAACTGGAGTAACTTAAATGGGTTCCAAACGAAATGGGATTATTTAAAAGTTGCACTGCTGAAGGCAACAGAAAATTCCATTAGGCTTGTCAGTAAAAGCAAAAAATTCAATAAACCACTGTGGGTACTCCGCAGATGTGGCCACAATAGTAATAAACAAAAAGTTAGCATTTAGTAATTTTAAAAAAAAAAGCATGAGGAAGATAAACAGATCTATACGATTAGGCAGAAAGAGGCTAAGCAAGTTGTAAGAGCTTCCAAATCACACACAGAAGATAGAAAAGCACAGTCAGTAAAAAAAAGGGGACAAAACATTTTTAGATACATAAATAAGAAAAGAAAAGTAACACAAGGATTAGTTAGATTAAAAACAAAAGAAGGATGGTATGTAGAAGAGGATAAAGTCTAGCTGACTGCCTCAATTAATATTTGTGTTCAGTATTTACAGATGGAAATGAAGGAAAGGGGCCTCAGTTAGGAAAAAGGACATACAGGGAGTGCAGAATTATTAGGCAAGTTGTATTTTTGAGGATTAATTTTATTATTGAACAACAACCATGTTCTCAATGAACCCAAAAAACTCATTAATATCAAAGCTGAATATTTTTGGAAGTAGTTTTTAGTTTGTTTTTAGTTATAGCTATGTTAAGGGGATATCTGTGTGTGCAGGTGACTATTACTGTGCATAATTATTAGGCAACTTAACAAAAAACAAATATATACCCATTTCAATTATTTATTATTACCAGTGAAACCAATATAACATCTCAACATTCACAAATATAAATTTCTGACATTCAAAAACAAAAAAAAACAAATCAGTGACCAATATAGCCACCTTTTTTGCAAGGACACTCAAAAGCCTGCCATCCATGGATTCTGTCAGTGTTTTGATCTGTTCACCATCAACATTGCGTGCAGCAGCAACCACAGCCTCCCAGACACTGTTCAGAGAGGTGTACTGTTTTCCCTCCTTGTAAATCTCACATTTGATGATGGACCACAGGTTCTCAATGGGGTTCAGATCAGGTGAACAAGGAGGCCATGTCATTAGATTTTCTTCTTTTATACCCTTTCTTGCCAGCCACGCTGTGGAGTACTTGGACGCGTGTGATGGAGCATTGTCCTGCATGAAAATCATGTTTTCTTGAAGGATGCAGACTTCTTCCTGTACCACTGCTTGAAGAAGGTGTCTTCCAGGAACTGGCAGTAGGACTGGGAGTTGAGCTTGACTCCATCCTCAACCCGAAAAGGCCCCACAAGCTCATCTTTGATGATACCAGCCCAAACCAGTACTCCACCTCCACCTTGCTGGCGTCTGAGTCGGACTGGAGCTCTCTGCCCTTTACCAATCCAGCCACGGGCCCATCCATCTGGCCCATCAAGACTCACTCTCATTTCATCAGTCCATAAAACCTTAGAAAAATCAGTCTTGAGATATTTCTTGGCCCAGTCTTGACGTTTCAGCTTGTGTGTCTTGTTCAGTGGTGGTCGTCTTTCAGCCTTTCTTACCTTGGCCATGTCTCTGAGTATTGCACACCTTGTGCTTTTGGGCACTCCAGTGATGTTGCAGCTCTGAAATATGGCCAAACTGGTGGCAAGTGGCATCGTGGCAGCTGCACGCTTGACTTTTCTCAGTTCATGGGCAGTTATTTTGCGCCTTGGTTTTTCCACACGCTTCTTGCGACCCTGTTGACTATTTTGAATGAAACGCTTGATTGTTCGATGATCACGCTTCAGAAGCTTTGCAATTTTAAGAGTGCTGCATCCCTCTGCAAGATATCTCACTATTTTTGACTTTTCTGAGCCTGTCAAGTCCTTCTTTTGACCCATTTTGCCAAAGGAAAGGAAGTTGCCTAATAATTATGCACACTTGATATAGGGTGTTGATGTCATTAGACCACACCCCTTCTCATTACAGAGATGCACATCACCTAATATGCTTAATTGCTAGTAGGCTTTCGAGCCTATACAGCTTGGAGTAAGACAACATGCATAAAGAGGATGATGTGGTCAAAATACTAATTTGCCTAATAATTCTGCACTCCCTGTATGAGTGATTTCTTACATGTGAGCCTACATAGGAAAAGGTTCTATTTAAACTGTCAAAAGTAAAGACAAATAAGTCAATGGGGCCTGATGGAATACACCAAAAGTTATTAAAAGAGCTTAGTGGTGTACTAGCAAAACCATTAACAGATTTATTTAACCAATCATTAACATGAGTTGTCTCAGAAGATTGAAAGTTAGCAAATAGAGTTGAGCGAACCCGAACTGTAATGTTCGGGTTCGTACCGAACATTACGTTTTTTGGACCCGGACCCGAACAAGGACATATCACTGTATGCTCGGGTTGGAATTCGGTGTTCGACGATTTAATGGAGCGTATTTTTATATATATAAGCTGGAGTTGCATAGCGCCACACGCTCATGAGGTCTTATTAGTGTAGGGAGAGGATGCTGCAGCTGTGAGGGAAAGCTTAGGAAAGAATTCTGCAAACTAGTACATTAGTGGGGTGCA